GCTGCTTTGAATTAAATTTTGAAGAACTCTTTCTTGATGAACTTAGATTCTTGGAGAATAATCAACAACCAAATTTTCAGAACTTCACAGAAGAATTGGTTGTTGGAAAACAAAACTTCACAGTACAAGAGTCTAAGTTCATTAAGAAATACAAAATGCATGACACCAATAATATCCACCTTACCTTGTTGCAAGAATTGTTGAACACCCCGAAATGCTTAAAGATTCAAATTATTGATTATATCATTCTGAATTTGTTTAAAATCCGGGGAAGAATTTTTAACAGTAAGGTAGGATTCAATGTAGAACAGGAACTCTTCATGTTGAATATTTCATTCTACATTGTTTATTTTGTTTATTTCAGAATAATAAAAAGAATTTATTCTTCTCTCATGTGAGAGTTTCTTATTCAGTTTTCAAAAAAAAAAAAAAAAGAAAAAAAAAGAAAGAAAAAAAGAAGAAAAAAAAAAGGAAAAAAAAAAGAAAAAAAAAAGAAAGAAGAATAAATTTTTGTTTTCATCCTCCTCAGACCAAAGGTAATTGCAGATTTTTATCAGCGGACCAAATGTAAGTGCTTCACTTCTTATCTGCTTTACTTTATGCATCATAGAGTTTGCATTGAGGACAATGCAAAATTTAGGTGTGGGGGTGAGAATTAGTTATTTTTTCTCTTTATTTTACATTTTTAGTTACATTTTTGTTTTTTTTTCCCTTTCTTAAAAAAAAAAAAATTTATAAAAATCGTCACTTGCCAAATTGATAGAGTTATGTAATAATTGATTTATTTGATAAATTTAAAATTTTCTAATCCCTAGTTGGTTATTTACTTAAGTTCACTTTTTATGATAACTCTAAATAAATTTCTTAAGAAATGATTGTGACCTTCAAATTTGCAAGTAGCTTGATTGTGACCTTCAAATTTGCATTGAGAACATTTCACTGGACGTTTATGAATGACTCTATTGTTTATATGTCTTGTTCTATTTCTTCCCTTCCTTTTAGTAGTAATTGGTGGTAATATCTCGATTTCATCTCTTGGTACACTTTGCTTCTTGTAATCTGGAATGGGATAAAGGACTTGGTCATACTTCTTTTTAAATGCTTCTATGAACATAAATCAATCACAATATTAGTATACATCTCTTTTTATATAGATAACGACTGCACAAGCATGCTTACAACTACATATTACGTCCAAAACTCGGCAAGTGCATGTCTTATTCTCTAAATCAACATGTGTAGTTCTATATGATTGCACTTTGAATATTTCATCTCTAGATTGTTTAACATCCAAAGTACATCCTTTTTCCATATTTTCTTTAAGGATTTGCTCAACTTTAGGACAAATATAATCATTCCATGTTTCAGTCATTATGCATCTGTTGTTCATGCGAACTATAATTTATTTTCGGATATGCTCCACCATTTATAATACAGTAACAATCGATCTTCACGTACTCAATTGTTAAAGGACTCTATGATATTAGAGGTTACATGACCATATCTGCAAACATTAAAATAATAAACTGTATAAGTATATTGCTTACAATATATATAATAAAATTAATAAGTAACTACAAAACCTATCAGTTAAGCGTGAAAGTTAACATGTCCCACTTAAAATTCACACATATAGAGAAAAGTTAACATGTATCGCTTATAGTTAACATATTTTAATGAAAATTAACATATATCAATGAGAGTTAACATCTACTATGAAATGTTATAATGATTGATGGAAGTACCTAATTCTAATGAAGAATGCATTTGCCATAATCTCGAGAGTAATTAATTCCAATGTCGTATGCTATTAGAGATATCTTAAAAATTTCTTTCATACAATCATTCCATTCTGCTTTAGTGTATTTATAGCGAGTATATTGGAGAAAATTCCCCAAAACTTGTGTGTCCTTTGAGTTCATTCCCAAATCCTCTAGCTTTAATCTAAAATTTTCAACCAGGTGTAAAAACACATATTGAGTTAATTACTTATAGGGACCGCCTCCAATTACCTATATTTTCTTGATCGCATATGTAATAATCTAGTGGAAATATCACTTGGTCTCCATCGTATGCTATGGCACTAAGGAATATGCCTTTTTATTTATCTTTCATAAATGTCACATCCAAAAATAATAGGAGTCTACATCCATTTAAGAAACCAACGATGCAAGCATCATAACAAATGAATAGTCTTCTGAACATTTCTTCATTCTGTTCAATGCAAATATAGCTTCGTGGATTTGTTTCCTTCCATTTAAGAAACCAATGATGCAAGCAGCATAACAAATGAATAATTTTCTGAACAATCCTTCATTCTCTTCAATGAAAATATAGCTTCCTGGATTTGTTTCCTTTACCATGTGTTCATACTTATACATAAATGTTATTAAATTTTAGGTAAATATAATACATTTGACAAACATGAAATAATTTCATAAAGTTAACATCTAATGGTGAAAGTTAAGCTATCCATGAAACATAACATCCAACTGTGAAAGTTAATATTTATCGATGAAACATAATATCCAACATGTGAAGTTAATATATTGCTGAGTCAATCAACAACTAATAGTGTACATTAAGTGTCCACTATAATAATTTGTACATTTAATAACAATTCTGTAAATTTTACCATCTTAGTTGATTGTAGGACTCATAACTATCACCATACAACTCCTCTTATGTTGTTTTCTTTACCCCACCATATCTTACTATATTCAATCCTCAATCCATATTGAGTGAGAAAATCTTTTTGCATATCAATTGGGCGGATATCGGGCTGAACCTTTATTACAGGCTGCAATTGGGTTGCTGTGAATTTGCGAGATGCTTGTGATCAACCTGATAAGTTACTATGTTTTCCACAACTGTGTTCATTCACAAAATTCTTGATTTTAATTCTTTTTTCATTTTTAACAGGAGTGGCAAATAACATCCAAGGGCACCCATATGTTTTTTTATATCGACAATAAACTCGGATACGTTTGTGTTCATTCTTTGCAAATTCATAATCAAACTTTTTTGTCATAGAATAGTGTTGCAAAGCTAGTCTCAATTTATTTATACTTTCAAATTGTTGACCATTTTTAGTTAATGTTGTGTGCCACCATTGAGGAATGATGGAAGTGTTGTTGAGAATATCATCTGATCTTATTACATTCTCACCAGACAGACAATCATTTGGGATCCTCTCTGAATCAGAAGTACTTCCTGGAGTAGTATGATTTATGCATTCAAAGAGGCATCACTACTGCACAAATTAATGAACCAGATAGATTTCTAAGTCAACTATAAAATTATCTTGTGATAGTTAAAATTAATAGGCTCATGTGTAAGTTAATAGGTAACTTGATAGTTAACAGCTAAAGACAAAAGTTAACAAGTTAAAGTGATAGTTAATGGATAGCAGTAATAGTTAACAGATAATAGGAAAAGTTAACAAGTCAAGTGAAAGTTAACAGATAATTATGATAGTTAATAGAAAACAGTAATAGCTAACAGATAGTCGTGTTAGTTAATAGACGACAAGAATAGTTAACATGTAATTATGGAAGTTAACAATTAAGATTTGTTTGTGGTATGAAACTTGAAATCACAAAACTTACATCACACAAACCCCATTTTTAACAACAGTTTAATGATTACTTACATTCAGTTGGAAGTTTCTGCTTTATTTCAGAAGTAGAACCCTCTATATCAACAACAGCTTGCATGTGAATCTCCATACATCTAATATTTCGATTATGCTCCATCATGCACTTCAAGTCGTCTTCATTATCAATTGCAAGACGCATATTTGATTCCTTTCAGATTTATATATCAATGATAAAGTATCCTGAGGAACTTTCAACCTTTCAGATACATCAAATTTCAGTTCAAATAAGTTTGGTGTGGAACTTAGCATTGAGAAGACAGCTTTCTCGCCTAACAACATCATACAAATCAGGTCATTGGTAGCCATGAGGGGTTGTTGAAAGTTATGAGGACAGTTATGAGGAGTAATTGAGGGAATTTTTAGAACATAAGAAGTTGATGAAAGTTAAAGAACAAAACCCTAATACTATTAGTGAGAGAGTGAGAGACAAAACAATAAAATAGAGAACATATGATGAGGACATATGATGTCATATATTGGTTAGTAATGAAGGGAACCAACGCCTTTTTCCCTTCATTTTTGCCGTCGCCTCGCGTCAATTGCGATCAGCTTTTCCACCGGCTGGATGGGTCACCTGATGGGTTCCCATGGGTGAGAAGAGGGCATTTCCAGAAGAGGTGAACAAATACAACATATACATGTATAAAAATGGGCTTTTGGTGCCGGGCCATATTTTTTTGATCTTTTGGGGCTAAACAACGTGAGAAAAACTTTCATGGGGCTAGGTCACATCATGTTGTTTCTATTGGGGCCTTGACACATTTTTTCCTTAGAATAATAGGGTTAGTCTCTCAAAATTTGATATTTTGAAATTAGTTCTAAAAATCTTTAATTGTTTTGAAATTAGATCCTTAAATCTTCATATTCTGAAATTAGACCTCTGATTTTTACACTTAAAAGATTTAGGGGCTACTTTCAAAATACGAAGACCTAGGGTTTTCAAAGCAATTAAAGACTCGGGAGAGTAATTTTAAAACATCAAGGTTTGAGGACTCGTATCGAAAAGAAGCGGTGGATTTGAAAAAGAAAAAAAAAAAAAGATGAAGTGACATGTTATAAAAGTTCGGTGAACTTTGAAAGGATTGGTGTATAAGATGATGATGGTTGGCATAATAAAGTTAAAAAGGACAGCCTTAATGGTAGAAAATTACAACACTTACTCTCAGCTCTTCGTGTTGCGACACCCTTTTGACTTCAATGCACGAGCAGCGTCCTAATTTTGAGTCTATTTTCTTGTTCGAACAACGTTTTTGGCGTTGCATCAATCTCTAACAAACGAAACACGAGTCCAATTTTTGACGTGGTCTCAGACAACATAGAAAATATACATATCATTGCATTTAAAGAGCAAAGAGTCCCAAAAAAGAGTAAGTAACGTACTATATTACTCCTGCAAACATCCAACCATATATCATAATTTCGTAACTTCGTAGATATCACGAGATAAGCAAATAATAGTGCTAGCTAGAGCCAATTTCTTACATACACAAGTCCAGTTAGAAGGAAATGGAGCATTTTGGTCCTTCAAATAAAACCCCAATCATAGTAGAAATAAAACTTGTTAGGACCAGAGGTATGAATGACTAAGAAGAAGAAGATGCGGTTTCAGTCTTATTAGAGCTCAGAATCTCCTCTGTTTCCTCATTCTCCTCAATCCCATCTGCTTTCATCCTCTCCAAGATCTCATCAACTTGTCTCCCCGCTCTAATGCTAGCCTTGATCAATGCATGATACATATCTCTATCAATTGCAACCGCCTTTCTCAACAAACCAACAAAAACCTCTGCAGCTTCAACGCCACCTTCGTCACCAAGATAACACAATATTTTTTCAGTTACAACTGAGTTTGGCTTCCAACCCCCACTTCCACCATAAACATTAAGAGCATTCAACATAAACTCGTACGCTTTTCGAATATCGCCTCCCTCTGCATAACCTACTGCCAAAATACCCCAACTGCTCGATGGTGGTTTCTTGCCTTTTTTGACATAATTATCGAGCAAAGTCTCAGCCTTTTGGAGCAATCCCTTCTGTCGATACCCTGTAAGAAGAATTTTCGGTACTTGGAAATCGAAAGAATTTCCACTGGACTCCCATTCTGTAAGCAAAGTTTCCGCTTCTTCAATTTCACCAAGCTTCACCAGCGAACCGAGCATTGTAGTATAGTCTCTGTTGATAAATCTCCTAAGCCTCAACTTTTGAAGCTCCCATATTCTATACATCTCAATTTTGTTACCTAGCTGACCATAAAGAGATATTAGATGATTGTAACATAAACCACTGTTTTTATCGAGCTTCTCTTCTGCTTTCTTCAGTGCTGAAACAGCTTTTTCATTGAGTCCTGCTTTGATGTAGATATTTGCAACTACTGAATACGTGTTCCAATCGACAACAAGTTGAGGCTGATGCGTCATTTCTACTAAAACCTTTTCCATTCCATCGATATCTGATCTCGCGCCGTAAGAATTGATGCAGATTCTATAGCTGAAATTATCCGGAAGAATGTTGTTTTCCTTCATTTCAGCGAGAACTGAAGGGATTTTTTCATGTTCCCCGAGATTTGCGTAGAGGCACATGATGTCATTGTAAGGGAGAGCGGAGGAGACGAAACCCATTTCTTTCATTTTTTGGAAATGGGTCAGGGATTTATCAGTTTGACGTTCTCTCACATAGCAATTTAAAAGAGCACCACAGGTTTTCTCGGTCTTTTCATTCTGGGCCAAGTTGTTGAAGTAAGTTTCGGCAGAGGGGACACCGTGAACTTGACCGATTAAGTCCAATTGAACAGCATGGTCACTTGGACCGAAGGATACATTGGCTTTGTACTTCATCCATTCAGAGGCCTAGCCATGTAAGTGTTGTTAGGAAGTCTTGAAAGAATGATAAAATGTTCGGCATGGTATTTGAAAGCATATGAGAGATATGGGGAGCCAGAGTGACCCAAACAAAGTAGGGTCTTTAAATGGAAACATACTGTAACCTTGCAGTCGTCCGTTGTGTTTCCTATATCACTTCCGGGAAGCTAAACCCAATTTCAAAATCAAAGATCCTTAATTTTCGAACTCAAATTGAGATAGGCCCCTGTGGTTTATCTCACAAATCTATTAAGCCCTTAATCTATTATTTCAATCTCGTATGCCCTATAGTTTTGGTTCTGATTATGTTTAGCCTCACGATGGTTCTTCATAACTAAGGAAGGGTATTTCTATCTTATTGAAATTATTCTTATTAACAAACAGCCAATCAGAGAGATTCTAAGTAAATTACCTCAAATGAGGATTATTAGACTTGAGATTGCACGAGAGAAAATACCTCAAACGAGGGCTTAATAGATTTATAATGTAAACCACAGCCGCTTGTCTGAATTTGAGTTCTTAATTTTCAGCCAATTTCCAGTAACCAGGAAGCATGGTAGTTACAGAGAATGTGGTGATACAAAGGATATGGAAGAGGCTACGAGAGGTGCAATGAAGAAGAAAATGAAAATAAGTGCAAAAATTCAAGCTGAGTGTTACATCAAGGGGAGGATAATGTTTACATTTGCAAATATAGTGGATCTCAAAAATAATAAAATCAAGAAAATCAAATTTCCATACAGTTCCAATCCATTTGGCAAGGAAACTCATGTTCAGCACTGGGCTGGTACATTTTGTTAGTGATATTGTTTAAAGTGTTTAAGTGAAATGATGTCCAGCATTAGGCTGGTACATTTCGTCAGCGATATCGTTTAAAGTGTTTAAGTGAAATGTACAGGGTACCTTGGGGAATAATCGGAAGTTACGCACATCAGGCATGACTTCAATTGTTTGGCTAGGTTTAGGAAAGCCCAAAGAGAACTACTCTAGTAGTTCTGGACAAGTTTCAGTTAATCATAAGGTACCAAATGCCTAATACAGCAATTAACACTTGTTGTCGCCAAACTTTATTTAGTTATTTCAAAAACTAAACCATCAACTTTGGGGGATATTTTAACTCAACGTGGTAGAATTGGGAGCAAATTAGCAAAATAGATACATTTGCAAGATAAAGCTGCGAACATGGTTGATTTAGGGGATATATATACTTAAAAAGCCCTTTTTTCTTAGCTTTCACGATTGGTATGAAAAAAAATTATTAACATTCTAACTGCCAGAATAAGCCTAAATTTTCAAGTGCTCTAGCTGAAATTTCCCTCTTCCACGGTTCAAAAATTACCAATGTTAAAATTGGGAGTATTTAAACTCGATGTTGCGGAATCATATCATATTATATGGATTAGTAAGTTCGCCCGTTTCTACAGAGAATGCATAAGAACATATCAGATTAATATGAAGACACTAGTTTAAACCACCAAAAGGAAGCCTAAACATCACTCACTAATATCTCTAGAACCAAATGTGGGCAAAGAAACCCGGGGCAAAGCCATATGCATTCATTTTTCTAAATTACTATATCTAGATCTTGACTAAATGGGGAGCCATTACAGGGTTTATAGGGTATTCGAACTCTCTCCGTCTAACAACCAGCCTTGGGTGGTGAGTCACAAGGGCTTGGTTGTGTTGGTGGAGAAACCGGGCCCAATAGGCCCTAAACAGAAGTTAGGAATCAATTTTAACCCAAAAGTTATAGCTATCCGGAATTGACCTAAACTCCTATTTAAACAAATCACTCTTTCTTATCTTATCCGACGTGCGACTATACTCACGTCTTAATCACCTCTACCTCCAATGCCTCCGAAGGTCTTCGACTAAATGGGGAGTCATCACGGGGTTTACAAGGAATTTGAATACCCTCCCTCTAACAACTAGCTTCCAATGGTGAGCACGTACAACGTATAAAATTTATTTTTGAGGGCAATGGGGGGCGAAAAAAAAAGAAACCCATTTTCTAATAGGAGGGAAAAAATAAAAATACAAACACCTTGCGGGCAAGTTCAATCAAGCGCTGCACAAACCTCAAGAGCTTGCTTGTACCTGCGGCGCCTGCGTAGGTCTCGGACCAAGTCCTGGATCTCAACTTTGCGCACTCTGTTCCCGTTGTCGACCCATCGATCGAGCTCGGGCGTGATGCTGATGCTCGGATGGCCCAGGGGGAAGATGACGGACGAGAGGCCCGCGCGGGGGGCCCGCTGCGGCCGAGTGCAGTAGGAGTGTCCTGTTGGTGACGGAGGCTGGAGAATGGGGGCCTGGATTCGGGTTCGGACTCGGGTTTGGATCGATGACCGCAGGCGGTTTGCGAGCCGGAGGAGAGAGGAGGAGGCCATGGCTTGGATTTTGGTGGGGGCCTTGGGCCTAAGGAGGGTTTATAGAGTTGGGCGTGGTAAGTGGGTTCGGGTCGGATTGGGTCGTTGTTTGATCCAACTAAGGTCTGAACTGCTCCTTTAAAAAACAAATAAAAATAAAAAATTCCTCTCCTTTTATTATTTGTTTAATTACCCTTTAATACCCTAAATACCCTTCTTTTAACTTTAACTTTAGGGCTGGTTTGCTACGACAAGCAAGCTAAATTACGTTAACTTGTTTTTTTTTTTTAAAATGGACTAGTACTTCAAATTGCCGCGGGTTTAAGGTCAAATAATTGCAGAGGGAGAATGGGATTATGAGGGAATTTCTTTTCAGTTCAGGGGTATAAAAAGCCAAATATTACCACGTGGCAATCACGTGATGTGTTTTAAACATAATTTTAAATGAAGAATGCATCTTCGGTTAATTCTTAAGAAACGATGCATGTATCACAACGCTCAGAGTTAGCCTTCTGCTCCGATGTAACAACACCATACGTAGAAGCAACAGCGGAGCTAGCAATTTCATAATACCGAATGTTGTCATTAATTTCGAGAACTACATTAATTTTACCAAGCTTAATTTAATTTCTTCCTCAAGGGCAATTAGGGTTCCTCCCGGGACCCCCATAGTAAAACTCCGTAGGATTACCAAACCGCAGGTCATAACAGTTTGGGCTCTCGACTATCGTCTTCATGCCGCTCGCTCTCACAGGAGCTCCCTTTTCGTCCAGAGTAACGATGTTTCTAACGTACGCGGCTCTCTGATGCCCTTCGCTCGAAAAATGCCCGCTTCCCATTTGCGTCGTCGACTACCCTTGCGCAGCGGGCCGGCTTGGGGTTGAATACTTCCGCCCCTTCACCCCCGCCCCCCCCCCCCTCTACTGAATTTGCCCGCCTGTTTAGTTCTTTTGAGAGCGTGTGTTGGCCAGTACCAGGGCCGGCCCCGAACTTTGGGTTGCCCTAGCCCAATCCAATTTTGGTTGTCCTTTATATTAAAATTTGTTACGAACAATAACGATAAAAATGAATAAATATAATACAATTTAGTATTCTATATTGGGCTCAAACTGAAAATATTCTCATGCAAAATTAATATTCATATAAGAAGAAACTATATTTGTGCTGCAATTTAATTCAAAGAAAAATATTCTCAACGAATGATAAATATATCATTGTTCATAACCCCCTTCACTCATATGAAAACAGTACGAAAGACAAAAAGGTTGGCTCCTATTTATAAATTATAATCTTATCCTTCATATAAATATATGTGCTCATCTCATCAATAACAAGTAACAACTGTATGTCTTTCTAAAGTTGGCTCCTATTTAGTGCTGCATTTATCAGCCTATATCTGTAAGATTTTGACTGTTATGATTTTTCTTAAGGGCCTGTTTGGATTTGTAGGGGGTGAAGGAAAGTTAAGGGAAACTGAGAGAAGGGAAGGGAAGGGAAGAGAGTTCTCTTCCCCTTGGTTACACCCCAATTTGGGGGGTAACAAATTTTATACTATTAGGGGGTGAACTAAGGGTAACTAGGGTGAATTAACTTCACCTCCTAAGTGTTCCCAAACAAGGTGAATGGAAGTGAATGGTTCCCCTAACTTCCCTTCACCCTCATTCTCCTCAATCCAAACAAGCCCTAAGAGAAATGTATTGTAAAATGCATGAGGGGTGTAGCTGTGGAGAAAGATTTACAATTGGCTCCTTCATAACCCCCTTCATAGCTTTGTCAATTTCTTAATTTCATTGCAAAACATTAAAAACCCAAATTTCTGTCAAAAAAAAACCCTAAAATTATTTAGTTAAAAAATTTTACCTGATGGGGTCAAGCCTGAAGGACGGGTCTGACGGGAGTAAAGTAAGGTCGTCGGAGGCTTGCCGGCTCGGGAAGGAGGAGAGGAGCCGCCGGCTCAGGAAGGAGGACCGGAGGAGAGGGGTGTTTTCTCTCTTTCTTCTTATTATTTTTTTTGTGAGGGAATAGAGATGGGAAATTGGGAATGAGTGCTGACGGAAATATGGGTATGGTCATTAGAGTTCTTTTACAAATACAACCCCTAACATTTTTTGTATAAAAGCCCTCTTACAAAGTCTACTTAAAAAATCAAAGACAGTTTGAGGGGTGTACGAGCAGTCGGGATGGGTTGCCCCCCAGCCCTGGGTTGCCCCAGCCCCGGGGCTTGGTGGGCTTACCCCAGGGCCGGCCTTGCCAGTATCCTAGCGCGTGGCCCATTACCGTCAGCCACCAGTTGCCTTCGTTTTGGTTGTCCTTGAATGCGTAGATAGATCGAGATTATATATATTAATTAGAGCGATGGTGATCATATGCTTGCATGAAAGGTAAATTACGACAAACATGCTGTATATGATGTGTAATTTTGGGGGTTACATAAACACAAAGATTTGCACGTAGCATATGATCGGGGTGCTTTTGGAATCGAGTGAAGACAGCAACGGGGTCCCATGATCCGGGGTGCTTTTCGTTTAGATGGCCTTTTGTTTAGTCCATGCCACCTTACTTCTCGTTTTTCTCATTCTGTCTTATATATTTTGCTTGTTTTGGTCGTTTATGTTTTTAGAAAATAGTTTTCTTCCCATGATTTAGCTTTTTCTCCATCTCGGAGCTGGTGCCTAAATCATAGGCAGATAACTACTTTTGTAAGTATTTTCAATACAGTTTTCAATAGATTCATGATAGGGCTTCCTGCCCTATTTTCCTTCAAAAAAAAAAAAAAGATTTGCACGTAGCTCCATATTTTCTAATGCGCCTAAAGTACTAAGGTTTGTGTACCTCTAAATCCAAGGAGTAAAATTCCAAGTGCATAGCTACATGTTAGAGAGCGTATAGCAACTATGTACTAAGGTTTGTGTACCTTTAATTTCTTGACTTTGTAAAATCATAGTTTCTTTAAAAACATGCATGATATCAATGAAGAGGGTTTCTTTTATTTATGCTTTATAAGAAATAAGAAGTTATTTCGTAAGATTTAGTACCTTTAAGATTTGGAATGTAACGAGGAATTGTTTACCACCATATGTAGATACTGGTGCAAATTTTGCATCGAGAGCCATTGCGTTGCTGGTCTGAATGAACCCTTGGCATAGCAGATTGTAACATCCAATAGTCTGATAAGCATCTGCCTGTTTTAATGACTTACATATTATTAGTTAATATTAGCAATTTAAGTTAATAATTAAGTGAAGAAATCGGATTAAAACAATTCATTTTTCGGGTAGGTTTCACAAAACCTTCCCAAAAATCCGAGTTTCTGCATAAAATCCCCCCGAACTTTATAAACCGGAGAAGACCTTCATGAACTTTCAAAATTATTTCTAGATTCCTTTGGTTGTTGTTTCTTGTTCAAGGAAGTTCTCTGCTTATAAAATTCTTGGGGGATCTCAAGAAGTTTACCGTTATTTTTGTTGGATATTTTTTTTTGTTTTGTTGTGACAGCCGCCCTCGTGTTTAAGCAGCCCTCAAATCTTTAGCTTTTTCTTCCTCACTTCTTTGACAAAGAAGCCACAAACTTTAAAAATGGAAAAAAGTGGTGGGTTTCACTAAAGAATTTTTAGGACGTGGGCCCTACATGAAAAGTAACTAATATTATTTATTAGTGCATAGTATTTTTTCAAACGCTATAAATAGACCTCAAATCCTTAAGGAAAATTTATTCCAAAAACAACAATCAATATATATACAGATATAGATTGTAACATAGCTGGTGCTTATAGGAATTTTACCTAATAGATCGAGGAGATTTTTTGCCTGATAGATCGAGGAGATATTTGCCTTATAGATCGAGGAGATCTTAACAGTACTGGGTCGGTGCACACCAGAGTACTGGACTGCTGTTCCTGGAAGCAATTTGGCCTTGGGAACCTTGCACCGGAGTAGGCCAAATAATACTTTAAGCATAGCGTTTTACAAACGCACAGCAGCTGAGTTGAAAAATTTAAATTACTGCCCTTCAGTTTTCTGTTCAGATTTTTGCTGTTATATATCTGTATTATTCCAGATTTAATCACAGGCGTTAACAATCTTAAAACATTATTTGATCTACCATGGATCCTGCAAGGACTCTTGGAGTGGACCGTTTCAAGTTAGAAAATTTTGACGGATCCAACTTCAACGCATGGCGTCGAAAAGTTATCTTCGGGATGCAACTCCTGAAAATCTACTATGTGGTTTCTGAGGAACAACCCGACTCTGAAGACGACTCTGAAGCTGAAGCCTCTTGGGCTAGAGATGATCACTTCTGCAGGAGTTATCTTCTTAACTGCCTGGCCGATCATCTAGCAGATGCTTACACCAACAAGCCTTCTGCAAAGGAAATCTGGAATGCTATGGAGGACCAGTACAAGGATGAGGAGAAGCTGTCCAAATCTCACATCATTGACAAATTTCTGGACTTGAAGTTCGAAGATGATACTGAGATTTTGCCTCAAGTCAAAGAGCTTGAAAAGCTTGTTATGAAGCTAAAGGATGAAAAAATCAGTCTTTGTCAAACCTTCATTTCTGGTACAATTGTCAACAAGCTTCCTCCATCTTGGATGTTATTCCCCACTGACATTCGAAGAAGAAAAAGACAGGCGACTCTGTCTGATTTTAAGAGGTTCATTCGGATCGAGGACGAGACTCGGACTCGCACGAAGACTGAGCTCATTGCTAAGCAGAAGGCGTCTGCTAACATAGTGGCTGCTAACTCTGAAAAGAGTAATAATTCATCATTCAAGAAGAAGAAGTCTTTTAACAGAAAGAAGAACCAGAATCCAAAGAACCTGAACGTTCAGAAAAAAGAGTTCAAGAGGAGCGGAAAATGCTTCAACTGTGGGAAGTAAGGACATTTTGCCAAAGACTGCAAAGCACCAAAGAAGGAAACAACACACAATGTCAATCAAGTTGATGATTGTGTGGCTATGCTCTTCCAGGTAACAACTCCAAGCAACATCTCTAGTTGGTGGATAGATACGGGTGCTACTTGTCATGTATGCTCCAATAGAGATATGTTCTCTTCTTATGTTACTACCAAAGAAAACGTATCAATGGCTGATCGTTCTGTGGTTCCTGTTCTCGGAACTGGGACTGTGGTGCTGACTCTTTCTTCGGGAAAGACTCTCACATTGAAGATGTGAAACATGTTCCCTCAATTGCTAAAAACTTAGTCTCTGGAAACATGCTGTGTGATGCAGGCATGCGGCTGGATTTCTAAGGAGGAAAAGCTGTATTATCCTTCAAGAAAATATATTTTGGCAATGCATATCGTACTGATGGCATGTATAAAATTAGTACGAGTGCACCCAACCCCGTTGTAAATGAAGTATCCTCTTCTGCTTACTCCTCTGTGTTATGGCACAATAGGCTGGGACATGTAAATTATAGAAAATTATCCAGCATGGAGAAGTTAGGATTACTTTCAAAATGTGGGGGTAACAAACCTGAGAAGTGTGAAGTTTGTGCGCAAGCAAAGATGACGAGGAAGCCATTTTCAAGTGTCACGAGGAGCACCAACCTGTTGGATCTGATTCATTCAGATACTTATGACTTCAAGAGCTTCGTCACTCGTGGCAGCAAGAAGTACTTCATCACCTTCATTGACGATAATTCTCGCTTTTGTCACGTTTACCTGTTGAAATCTAAAGATGAAGCCTTCAGCAAGTTTGTCGAATTTCGGACTCGAGTGGAGAAGCAGCTTGGACTTCAAGTGAAAAGACTCAGGAGCGACAGAGAAGGAGAGTACCGATCTAAGGAATCGAAAGCATACTTCAAGGAGCATGGAATCATTGCTGAAACTACTGCTCCGTATTCTCCGCAATCTAATGGGATTGCAGAAAGAAAGAATCGCACATTGACCGAGATGGTGAATTCGATGCTGATCACATCTGGTCTACCTACCTGCTATTGGGGAGAGGCTTTGCTAATGGAAAATTGGAGTCTAAACAGAGTACCCTATTACAAAACTGATAGTACTCCTCATCAGTTATGGTTGGGATATCCAGATTCTTTGGATGGTCTCAAAGTGTGGGGGTATCTCGCATATGTTCGAATTCCAGATATCAGAAGGCCTAAGCTCGGACCAAAGGCAAACAGATGTGTGTTTCTTGGCTTTGCAGGAGATAGCAATGTGTGTAGGTTCCTGGACCTTGGAACCAACTCCATCATTGAAGCTCGAGATGCAGAATTATTTGAGGATAAGTTTATCAATCATAAAGGTTGATTGCTCAAAGATGTAGCAGAGAATGCTAGTACATCAGATGCACAAGAGGATCCAGTCAATGATGAAGGAGTTATCGAACCATCTTCCAAGCGCGTCAGAAGATAGAAAGATTTTGGAGATGACTTCATCACCTATAATGTGGAAGGAGATCCATAGACTTTTCAAGAAGCAATGCAGTCAACAGACGTTCTTCTGTGGAAAGAAACTATAGATGATGAGATGGATTCATTGATCCAAAATCACACTTGGGAGCTGGTGGATGTACCTGAAGGTGCAAGGCCTATTAGTTGCAAGTGGATCTTCAAGAAGAAGCTCCGTCCTAATGGTACTATTGAAAAGTATAAAGCAAGACTGGTGGCGAAAGGATTCTCTCAGAAAGAAGGTATAGACTTCTTTGATATTTATGCACCAGTTTGTAGGATCACTACCATCAAAGTGCTTATCGCATGGGCGGCGATTAAAAGGTTCGTCATACATCAGATGGATGTGAAGACTGCCTTTCTCAATGGAGATCTCACAGAAGAGATTTACATGGAAAAACCAGAAGGACTTGATTCTCTAGTTGATAAGGTTTGTAAACTTATTAAGTCATTATATGGACTTAAGCAGGCACCAAAACTCTGGCATGAGAAGTTCGATGGGGTTATTCGCAACAATGGATATCAAGTCAGTGAATCTGACAAGTGCCTATACATCAAGGTCGCTAAGGAAAGGTGGTAGTTATTTGCCTTTATGTGGATGATATGCTCATCATCGGGAGTGATTTGGAGATAGTAACATTTACCAAGAAATTTCTCTCGGCACAGTTCAGCATGAAAGGACCTTGGCACTGCGGACGTGATTCTCGGAATTAAAATCATATACTCTGAAGAGGGTATTGGATTGTCCCAATCTCATTATATCGAGAACATACTAAGGAATTATGGCTACTACGACCTGCCAGAACTGTCAGTGCCGTATGATTACAACAAGAAGCTTCGACCAAACACTGGAAAACCAGTAGATCAGCTAAGGTACTCAAAGATAATTGGGAGTCTTATGTATGCGATGAGCTGCACAAGGCCAGATATAGCATTCGCTGTAGGAATTCTTAGTAGGTTCACAAGTGATCCTGGAAAGCTTCATTGGGATGCTGTCCAGAGATTGATGAGATAATTGAAAGAAACTACAGGTCTGGGTCTATTCTACACTGGATATCTAGGTGTAATCGAAGGCTATTCAGATGGGAGCTGATGCTCAGAACCAGATGAGTGCAGATCTACTGGAGGTTTTGTCTTCACCATTGGTGGAGCTGCCGTCTCGTGGAAGTCTAAGAAGCAGACCATGATTGCACAGTCATCGATGGAATCTGAATTCTTCGCACTCTGTGTTGCAGGAGATGAAGCTGAGTGGCTCAGTTGTATTCTCCGAGACCTTCCATTGACGGAATTACAAGGTGCAATTACTATCTATTGTGATAATCAGGCGGCGAGTGCTGTGGCAGCAAACTCGATGTTCAATGGAAAGAAGCGGACCATTCGTCTGAAGCATGGCTGTTTGAGAGAGCTCATTTATCAAGGAGTTATCTCTGTGATTGACGTCCGATATTCAGAGAATGTGGTTGATCCTTTGACTAAGGGTCTAAAAAAGGACATAGTCGAAAAGACGTCTGCTGGAATGGGTCTTAAATTTTTGTAAGTCTTACAAATACTTACCATGTTTATTAAATTATTAGTTCAAAGCTTATGCTACTAATAATAAGATAATTGGTTCAAAAGTCAAGTAAGATTTGTAAAGTTTGGTGAGTCTTACAAATACTTACCATTTACATCTAGTTATTAGTTCAAAGCTTATACTACTAATGACAATACAAATGGTTCAAAAGTCAAGTAAGATTTATACGTGAAAGAGTTTAAGTTTTCTTGGATTAGTCAGTGTCTAAGGCAAGGTTTGGGGGTTGCGTAACGCGCTCCGTAAGGAACGAGGTACTTAATTGATCTTTGATCAACCTCTAATACTATCCTTACCTGGCTAAACTACCCGAGTAAAACTTTGATCTTTTCACCTAGAATCTTATCATGTAAAGGGGATGACTGTTAAGCCTTAATGGGTCCAAAGTATTTCGGAGGCGGGGTGTTAGATAGGAAACACACCTAAAGGACTCACCCGGAATCCTATAATGAGAGATGATGGCTTTTAAGCCTTAATGAGTTCAAAGCATTTCGGATGCGGGATGTTTGATAGGAAACATGCCTAAAGAACTCACCTATGCATGAGTGGAGATTTGGCCGTCTCCTATGGTGTCTTGTGAAAAGATACTTAGAGCTCTAGCAGAAACTAGGACATGCACAGGGCCATAAATGTGCAAAGGCAAAAGCAAGACAAAGGCAAAGGCAAGACAAAGGCAAAGGCAAGTGTGGTTCAAAGTGAAAACTACCACAGATGAGTTTGATCTTGTGTGATCGTTGGATTTTTAGACATGTGCTGGTTCAAGTCTCTGCGACACCGTGCACCTATCTTTTATTCAGTTGGTCTAAGGGGATTCAAGTCCTTGCGACATCGTCCTTATGCACACGATTGAAACGACGACACTGTTACACGATACTTTAAAAAAAATGTGGGGGATTGTTGGATATTTTGTTTTGTTTTGTTGTGACAGCCGCCCTCGTGTTTAAGCAGCCCTCAAATCTTTAGCTTTTTCTTCCTCACTTCTTTGACAAAAAAGTCACAAACTTTGAAAATGGGAAAAAGTGGTGGGTCTCACTGAAGAATTTTTAGGACGTGGGCCCCACATAAATAGTAACTAATATTATTTTATTAGTGCATAGTATTTTTCCAAACGCTATAAATAGACCTCAAATCCTTAAGGAAAATTCATTCCAAAAACAACAATCAATATATATATAGATATAGATTGTAAAATAGCTGGTGCTTATAGGAATTTTACCTAATAGATCAAGGAGATTTTTTGCCTGATAGATCGAGGAGATCTTTGCCTTATAGATCGAGGAGATCTTGACAGTACTGAGTCGGTGCACACCAGAGTACTGGACTGCTGTTCCTGGAAGCAATTTGGCCTTGGGATCCTTGCACCGGAGTAGGCCAAATAATGATTTAAGCACAGCGTTTTACAAACGCACAGCAGCTGAGTTGAAAATTTTAAATTACTGCCCTTCAGTTTTCTGTTCAGATTTTTGCTGTTATATATCTGTATTATTCCAGATTTAATCACAGGCGTCAACAATTTTTTCATTTAATGTGTTAATTCTCTTGAATACAACCGTAATTAAAATATAAATTAATGTGAAAAGGTTTTATAACTGACCGTCCAATATGTGAAAAGCCTAGTATCATTGTCTCCATATAGTTTGGATTGACCTGAAATAATATCACAACACAATTTTAGTTATGAGTTAGAAAAACCAAGTAAAACGTTAGATATAAATCTGGAATCAATTTATTGAAGATTTACATACGAGTTCTTTTTATCTAAACAAATTATGAAAATAAGTATATTTATTCTTACAATTTGCAATTATTGTATTAGGTTGAAAATCACTTTAACTCTGATCTAATAATTAAAAAATGTATTTCAACATGACTATATGTAGCTCTTAATCATATTTCTATTGAATATATAAATAGTAACAATCACTTCCATACTTTGTGTTCTCGTTCATTTCATAAATAATTTATTCTTTTACTTTTTATAAAATTTAGGCTGCCGGTTTTCTAAAGAGCAAAAGAAAAAAAAAAAGGAAAAAAAAGAGGACTACACTACCATATTAGTCCTGCTTCAACGGTATTATGAAGATCATCATTCGATACGATCCACATCTGAGCAAGGCTAAATTCAGAAGGTTCTACTCTAGGCTTCCATAAGTTTATGTCACACCGAGATCCATAGTGTGGACCATTATTTATTATAAATGCTAAAGCATGCTGCAAGAAAAATCAAATTCAAAGTTCAAAACAAGACCGTTAGAAAAATATGTTAAAAAGAATAAATATGTTTTCAAAAATTATTGCAGATCCACATCTGAGCAAGGCTAAATTCAGAAGGTTCTACTCTAGGCTTCCATAAGTTTATGTCACACCGAGATCCATAGTGTGGACCATTATTTATTATAAATGCTAAAGCATGCTGCAAGAAAAATCAAATTCAAAGTTCAAAACAAGACCGTTAGAAAAATATGTTAAAAAGAATAAATATGTTTGAAAAACTTATTGGAGCTTGCAAACTATGAGAATTTAATATGATGAGAAGAATGAGGGATACATTGACACTATGAGCCATCAATCCACATTTATAGCCTCCAATGCCTTATACCTAGTTGTTGGAATCATGATTTTTTCGGTTTTAAATTTTGGTAAACGGGTAAGGTTACCCTAACTTCTTACTTAATAATATTTTGTCCACTAGTGAGTCGTAAGTTTGCATATGGTGTTGTCATTCATTTGTCCCAAAAAATTCTCATTCCAAACCAAACAAAAGAATAGGATTGGAGGGTTTCTACAAAGTTGGATCCTATATTTTCATATTATGAAACAAATATAGAAAGATAAAAAATAGATCCCACAGCATTCTATGACAAAAAAAAACATCCTTAAATTCTTTATAAATTAGGAAGGAATCCATAAAAAACATCTTTTTCCTAATTCTATTCTTGCACACTATTAAACTAAGCGCCCCCTCCTTCAAAAAGTTGTTGCAAGTCTAGCTCTAACAAAGACTTTCACACTGCTCATAAATTGTTTCGGACTCGGCCCAATAACCTAAGCCCTTCTCCGAAGCCTATAACTGTGCTAGTAGTCTAGGCCCGGGGCCCTCAAGAAAGTGGGTGCATTTATGGATGACCGAATCCTCAACCCGGTATTTATATTCATGTGAAAGGAAACATCATTTACAGGGTTCGGAAAAAAAGAAAAAAAGAAAAGAAATATTTAGATCCTAAATATCAACTGACATCGTCAACACTGCGAAACGAAAAATTTATTAGGGATTTTTGCAGCTCCAATAGTTATTGGGGCTTTAGTGTGATTTTCGAAGTTATTGAGTTTTTATTGCAAAATGTTGTGTTCTTAGGGGTGTAGTGTAATTTACCTAGAAGATATAAATAGCTAAACAACAAAGCCATATTTAGACAGTAAGATATTGTAGTTTCTATTAGAATAATTCAATAATAATATTGATATTTGGATAAAGGGTATTTCACAAAATCATCTTTATCCGCCCATCCGCCCATGTGAAACTTACAATTAGGCTGTTAGGAGGTATTTTGAAAAATATTAAAAGTTAAAGGGGTTTTTGTGAACCCCAAAACTTATTTTAATTTTTTGATAACCTAACCAGAAATTTAATCTACGATTAATAAAGTCATATTAAAACCTTCCACTCGTTCAGATTATCAGTGGTGAGTTAGAACCTCAAAACTATTATAAAAGTGTGTTGCCATGTTAAAACATTTCTTTTAAAAATACCCTCCAAACCACATACATGCATCCATAAAACAAATACTTGCATACATATAAACACATACATATACATTCATACATTCTTAACAACGACATAACTCTCCTATTAATTGTCCACTAATATTAACTTCTATTTTTTTGTAACCCCTCCACTAATCCAATATTAATGTTATCATAATTTTTTTTAAGATTGTAAGTTGTATTTGACATAATAGCTGAGAATTGAATGCACACACATCTAACAAACTAATAATATATGTTTCAATGTGCAAAAAAAAGTGTCAACTTAAAATGCTTACATGCATACATTCTTAATAATGACATAACTCTCCTATTAATTGTCCACTAATATTACACTTAAATCCACTTAAAACGTACATATGACAAACTAATAATATATGTTTCAATTTACAAACAAAATGTCAACTTAAAATACCATTAGTGCATGCATTCATGCATACTTGAAATGAGAGTTACATTTTCAATTGTAGTTTTTATTTAAGTGGCAATTACATTTGACTGTTACGGAATCCAAAGAGCCTGTTTTTTTTATTTATCATAATAGTCCTTACTTGCAACCTATATAAATTCACTCATTTGATGATTTAGATTTACACTCACCTCTTACAACCCTAACAGCATCCTATACTCACCCCCATGGCTTTACTATGATATTATTTGGATGATACAAGCTCGCCAGTGAAAATATTATCCCTTCAGAAGAGATAACGACAAAGGGTTGTGAAGACGATTGAAGTTGTGCTGAGAAAGTATTGAGCTTTACTCGGATTATACTTTATACTGATGTGATTGTTAGACTGACGGCAATATGCGGATTGAGGATACGATTGATACAAGGAAATGTGGAGAATTCGGATTGAGGCTATTATTATTATTATTATTTTTTTTTTGGGGGGGGGGGGTAATGAACTTTTTTTTCTATTTTTATAATTATTACTATGTACTTAATTATGATTTGAGAGAAATATTGTATTATCCATGAACTTAGTAGATATTTTTTTGTAGCATGTTACTAATTATATGATAATAGAAGAGAGAGAAGGTGAAAGTGAGAATTTTATTTTGTTATAATGGATTAGCAAAAATAAAGATAATTAATATAAACTGGAATAGCATGACACATTTAACATAAAAGTAAAGAACAAACTTAGAATTTTTGTCTTTTGGGTAATTTTTTTATAATAAGCATATTATAACCTCCCTAATGTTAAAACTATATTCTAAATTTGCACATAAAACTACCAGTAGTTATTAAATATCATTCATTATCTTAAATTATAAAGTAAATAGAACTATGTCTTTTTTTTTGAGCAGTAGAACTATGTCTTTTAAGATTAAATTTTTTTTATCTTTTGGGTATTTCATGATTTGCCAATGTTCACAAAATAACCCTGAATTTTTTAACAAACAACTATGGATCTTTATAATTTTCACAAAGACCATTGAAATTTTATATATTTATAGAAAAATATTGAAACTTATAATTTTTTACAGATAAACCCCTATATAGTTCAAAACTTAAATCTTAAGAAGATTGAAAGAAGTATATGATCTAAATTGTAAGAAATATGTCAAGTATTAGAACATAAAACAAATATGTCCACGTGTAACACACGTGCATTATACTAGTATATATAAACACACACACGAATCGAAGACTGAGTCTGCATTTTACTTAAACATACCACATGGCTAGTTTTAGCGGACGCAAGGCTGATATTTGTTTTTGGTGGATACTTTTTTCCGAAAATTTCAAGTGAAGAGGCTCTGAGGATATGGCTCTTTTGAATTCTTCGGATAGGAATTGTCCCTTTTGGACATTTTCCATTGATGTGCCAATCTTGAGGAATTTTAGTCAAGGATTCTTCACTATGAATATCACTTGGATTGAAGCTAGGTTTCAGCTGCATATATCGAAAGAAAGTCGTTAGTAATTTTTTTTATTTCCAAGAAAATTCATGAATGGATGGGCTTATTATATAGAAAGTAATGCTTTTACATAAATAAGAAAAAAAATATATTAATGAACAGGGTATATGTTATGCTTCGAGGAACCAAAACAAACGCCGAGAGAGAAGACCAAACACAATCACAATAATAGCACGAATACAAACAAGCGAATTTTACGTGGTTCGACAAGTTGTCTACATCCGCCGGACAAGAAGGGATGAGTTTTCACTAATAGAGAATAAGAGTACAAATTGAGATTACAAAATCACTCAAACTCACCAATTAATCTTAGCAACAAAGCTCTTAATCTCTCAAATAAAACCCTAAGCAATAGCTCAGAAAAACTCTCTTTTCTGTGCTCCAAATATCCCCAATTCACTCACCAAAGAAACCCTAAATAGTGTTTGTATTTATATCAAATACAAAACCAAATCAGAACAGGAAACCCAAAACTGGGCCTGACCCGATAGGCAGTCGACCGCGACAAACGACAGAACCCAGAAAATCAATAAAGAGTTTGGCGGTCGACCGCGGCGGTCGATCGCACCAAGTCCAGAGGCCTCGGGTATGATTACAGGGTTTGGTGATCGACCGCACCAAATCCAGAATCATACCCAGAGTCTGTGCACGTATTCGGTCGAGCGGCCTACCCTCGCGGTCGACCGAACATCACCAAAAATGTTTCCCTGTTTTCAAAACCTGTTCTTCTCCAAGTTTTTCGCCAATTTTACAATATATCCCTTGTTTTATTCTAAAAAAAACATAAAAAAGGAAAAAAATCATAAAAAGGGAAAAGAGAAAATCTAGTAAGGGAAAAGAGAAAAACTAAATATATTATTTAATTTGATCAAGATGATTAAGATTTAGCAATACTTTGCTAAACATCTTTAGGTAGAATTCATTTAAAGGTTTCTTAAAAGAAATTAAAAGGTATACACACACACTTTCTCACTAACTGCTTTTAAGTAAAATTTTATTTAATATAACATCTGAAGGAAAACTTACTTGAACCTTGTGATTCTTAAGCAATGGATGATCCAATGATGGTTGCTTGTAGATGTCCACACAATCAATTAAATCTCCAGATGGACTCTGATAATTTGTAGTGAGATTAAAAAAATGTAATAGTATAAGATGGCAAATTAAAGAATATATAGAAAATTCAATATGCATATTTTACATCACATAAGAATCAGTAAATATTGAGCATCACCTTAATAGTTTTAACGGCAGGTTTGTTCATCTTCTTCAAATATCTCTTTATTTAAAAAGTATGCAAAAATCAATATCAGCAGGGTACTGTTGGATTTAATCTAATAAATCTATTTGTGGGCACATATGATTAATCAATGTGTATTGCTATCTTTCAGGATAACCCACTAAAGTGATCAATTAAGTTGAGTTAATTTGGTATTTAAATAAGTCATGGGGTTATATGTGCAGATACCAGGTTGTAATTGTGATTTATTGAGGGGCTAAATTATAAAAGTACAACATCTATAAATAAGGGGTTATGGTCCCTAACCTAGGGTTACATTCTCTAATTCTCTACACCCCCATCTAGCTAGAGAAATTCGGATTTAGAGAAACCCTAAGGTTAGAAGATCCAAAACCCATCTCAAGGTTCATCCATGGATTCAGGTATAAGCTTCCGCTCTTTTAATTATTGTTAATCTCTTTGAATTAATCATGACTATATGGTTTTAGATCTCAAGTTTTTATGATGTAGATCTAACAAGTGGTATCAGAGCCACCTTGATTAATTCTTAGGGATTTAAGTTTTATTGGGTTTTTTGATCTTAAATCTCTGGTTAAAGATTCAGTTTTGTTCTCGGATGAACAGTAATGTCCGGATGAACAGTAACGAAAATCTTTTGGATGAACAGTAAAGTTTTTTCGGATGAACAGTAAAGTTTTTTCGGATGAACAGTATTTTTTTGGAATTTTTTGGATTTTTCTTTGATTTTTTTTCTTTAATTTTTCCAATTCTGGATCTATTTTGAAAATAAAAATCAAAGTTTTTTGGGTTTGTCGGCGGCGGTTTCAATTTGAAACCCTTACCTCAAATTTTGGCGAAGCGGTAAGCTTCAAACGAACCTCGCGTTCGTTCAATTTTAACCGAGCTTCGCGCTCAACGAACCTCGCGTTCGTTCTAAGGTGAACCTCGCGTTCAACTCAGGTGAGCGTCAAGCTCAATTTTAACGAACCTCGCGTTCGTTCTAAGGTGAACATCGCGTTCAACTCAGGTGAGCGTCAAGCTCAATTTTAACGAACCTCGCGTTCGTTCTAAGGTGAACCTCGCGTTCAACTCAGGTGAGCGTCAAGCTCAATTTTAACGAACCTCGTGTTCGTTCTAAGGTGAACCTCGCGTTCAACTCAGGTGAGCGTCAAGCTCAATTTTAACGAACCTCGCGTTCGTTCTAAGGTGAACCTCGCGTTCAACTCAGGTGAGCGTCAAGCTCAATTTTTAACGAACCTCGCGTTCGTTCTCAAGTCGAACCTCGCGTTCGTGCTTCAGACAAACCTCGCGTTCGTGCTTCAGACGAACCTCGCGTTCGTGCTTCAGTCGAACCTCGCGTTCGTGCTTCAGTCGAACCTCGCGTTCATCCTTTTTTAACGAACCTCGCGTTCGTTCACGAACCTCGCGTTCACCTTTTTTTTAACGGACCTCGTGTTCGTTCTCAGACGAACCTCGCGTTCGTGCTTAAGTGAGTCTCGTACTCAATACAGTCGAACTTCGCGTTCGAAGTTATGGGAACTTCGTGTTTATTATGGTTAAGCCTCGGCTTTTCATGGGTCCACTTTG